AAACGGTTGTTCGAATATGGATAAAGCACACATATAGCTTATGATTCTTTATTCTGCAACTGATATGTATAAATATTTTATTACCAAATAAGTTATTTTAGACAGAAAGAACGTGAGATAATTAGAATATATAGCAAAGGCTATTATTAGATTGAGAACGATTCCTAGAAACTAAATAATAAAAAACGTTGCACATTACATTAATATTCTATTGGCTCAACAACTATGATAAGACAATTTACTAGTTTTAGAATTAGTTGAAATCTTAATCAAAACCCGACACATTCTATGCAGATTTTTAATAGGTCACCATTTATTATTAGTAAGCGCGATGCAGTCAAACGAGTGATATTTAATTTGAACATTTTATATAAATTCTTTACTGGACACCTATAATACAAAACAATCAAGGACATGACTAGTATAATTTTTCTGACGGCTTCACGGACGAATGAGCATGCAATTGCTTATTTGAAGCTTCAATTGTTGCGCTTCTTGGTAGAGAATTTGATCTTTTATTTGTCCTGATGGTCAAGGAATTATGACGTCACTCGTTCTGGGCGCTGACGTCAACTCTCACCTACACAATTACCCGATACACTGAATCACCATTTACTTTTCTGGTTTCCTGGTACCTACCTACTTACTTATTTAATCCAAATACACACATCAAAAGTGTCTAGGGATCAACATATATTTTTGCAATAACTTTTCTCCTGATTGATATTAATTAAAATTTTCTTTAAGGATTCATCAAATAAAGTGTTTTCGTTTGTCACAGTAACGATAAACCAAGTCACCTTTGCATTAATAAAGAAATTTGCCATTTTCCTAATAAAGGGATTTTTGACATTTGAACCACTAACACAAAAGTTCGAAAAAGAGACTGAAATAACAGTTTTCTCTAAAATTTTATTGGGTAACTTAAACAATTAATAATCCGTATTTCTACCGCGAACACTAACAACACAAGAACATCGGTTTGGCATACTCAAAATGAGTTCATCCAAATCACGCTGTGGAATGGCCGCCCATGTTCGTTGCAACAACAAAAAAAGGTCTTCTTGCGACTGGATACCCTCCATATTCGGCAGAGCTCTTCTCTGTAGCATATCCCATGCATGCTCAATCGGGTTCAAGTCTGGCGACTGAGCAGGCCAGGGCAGGACATTGATGTTAGCTGCGGCGAGAGTCTGTCTTACAACTCTTGCGGTGTGCGGTCGTGCATTATCATGCATTAACTGAAATAAGGGACCGATTTGCACTTGTAGAGGAACGATGACGTCTGATACAATCGTCTCAGCATAAATTTGAGCGTTGAGGTTGCCTCTGATCCAAATCAACTCAGTTCTTCCGCCGATCCAAATACCCGCCCATACCATGATGGTTCCACCACTATAAGGATGGACTTCCTGGCAGGATTTTAATCGCTGTTGGCGTCCAGGGGTTCTCCAGTGTCGTATACGTCTTGTATCCGGTCTCATACCAAAACGAGACTCATCAGAAAAGCACACGAAACGCCATTGTTCTTCTGCCCAATTTCTGTGTTCAAGAGCCCATTGATATCGAATCCTACGATTGTGCATTGCTATAGGTGGTACCCGTAGCGGTCTTCGGGAATGAAGGTTCACTTCATGCAAGCGGTTTCTGACTGTTTGGTCGCTAATTAAGTTCCCTGAAGAGTGATGAAGCCTCACGGCTAACATCATGGCGGTTATTGTTGGAGCTCTTCGAGTTAAGATTTGAATGTATCGGTCTTGTCTCCGTGTGGTGCAGCGATACCGTCCTCCATGGCGCTCAGCCACGGTACCAGTGCTTCGGTATCGTGTCCAAAGTCGACTGATAACACTCTGACTTGTATTCAGAGCTAAAGCCACAGTACGTTGCCGGGAACCAGCTTCTATCATTCCCACGGCTCTGAGCATTTCTTCCCTGCTTAAATGACGTCGCCGCTCCATAATAACGTTGGTTTTAATCAGTAGTAGGGAAACAGTAGCACTAATAATGTCTTCAATGCGTTGTATGTTTTTATAGGGAAAATATTGACAGCTGATTTTCATCTTTTACTCGAATTTGATTCACAGTTCCTGATTCAAATTATGAAATGCACCAAAAAGGATCCATATAAATTTATAAAATCATAAATTTATTACAAAGCCACATCTCAATCACAAGAAATCCGCATAAAAATGCTTGATCCCTAGACACTTTTGATGTGTGTAGTTAACCAAATACACAAAAAAAAATCATAAAGATTCGAAAAGCCTTTTCGGAGGAGTTCGATAACAAACACAGTGACACGAGATTTTTATATACTTAAACTGGCTGTCCCAGCAAACTTCGTACCGCCATAAAAAAATAGGGGTTGGTGGTAGAAGGGTGAAAAATTAGGGTTATATGTATTTTTGTATGATGTATCATAAAAAATAAAAACAAAAAAAATGTCCAAAAAAACACCCTTAACATTTAAGGGGCTGAAAATTAGATGTTGTCCGATTCTCAGTCCTACTGAATATGCATATAAAATTTTACGAAAATCGGTGGAGCCGTTTCGGAGTAGTTCAATTACGCACACCGTGACACGGGAATTTTATAGATTAGATTACCAATATATAAATGAGTAAATTCAAGCTACTGAAAGTGTTTTGTTATGTCATAATGTAATAACATATCGTGAAGATCAATCGAAGATAAATAAAAGACTTAAAGCCCAATCACGCGGAAGCAAAACAACATTTCGTTTCCAACTAAACACGATGATAGATTTGACGATATTCGCACGAAAAAAACTGAAATGTTATCGTGTAATGGTCTCGTTTATTGCAATACGATGTCCATGTAGGTATGTATATGTTAATTAATGTGTTTTTCGTAACGTAGAGCGTCAATAAAAAGCTCGAAATGTTGTAAATGCAGCTATCGGAGGTTAGCAAATGTCATGAAATGAAAAAAAAGTGTGAATACCTAGTGGTGCAAGTTAAAAGCTGTAAGAGGTTACTATATATTTTTGTGTAAGTCTTATAGATAGTCGTTTGGAAAAAGATTTATATTCTTTATATTATAATGTGACGAATATATTTTCACCTATTTCATTCCGGAAGGGGAATAAACTACCTAACTATTGTTTTCAATTTTCCGTCAATTTAGTGAAAAAAAGATCTAATATTATTGTATGAATAACAATTAAAAATACGATCTTCAAGGCTATCTTTTCTAATAATTTAGTAAATAGTGCAACATGTAAGTTCTTCACTATTTAATTTTATTTGTTTTACTAGTGAATTTACTTATAAATATGATGAATACATTAATCTCAGGAACCATTAAATTATATTTTATTCAAAGTTATAAATAAAAAAACTAACCTACAAAAAGGTCTCTTTTACTGTTCCTTTCCTAAAATAAAATAATTATATTATTAGAGAGAAGAAATAAAGATTTTACTTAAAATATGATTTTTATCGTAAATATCTTAGCGCTGCAGTTATTTCTCTTATTAAAAATTAGTTAGTGATGAGCTATATACTTATAAATTCCTATTTAGAAAGCATTCTCATGACGGCCGAGTGGTTTGTACGCCGGGTTTCATGGTGTCGCCGATTCGAGAGATCCCGGGTTCGAGTCCCGGTGGGGGCAGATGTTTGTGTGATGAACACGAGCATTTGTAGTCCAGTCATGTATTTCTATATAAATATACTTATATATGTACTGTATATGTAATATATTCTATCCGTTACCCTGGTATCCCATAACACAAGCCTTACAGTGCTTACTCTGGGGCTAGGCTAATTGGTTTGAGTGTTGGAAATATTTATTTATTTTCTTATTCTGTTAAGATGTATTGATAATAAGTAGCCACTGTAGTAAAATATTTCAGTAGTAAATCTCACTTTAAATTAAGCTGTACACTTACACCCCACCCGACAGATTGACATTACCGCGTGCGTGTGTCGTAACAGATCCAGTGACCACACTCCGTTAATGTGGGTCATTTGGGCGGTAGAATACCTACAGTATCACGAAAATTCTGATTGGTCAATTTAAGTACTAAAAGCAAGTTATAATGTAAAAAAAAGAAGATTAATAAAAATCAAGACGATGGCTGTACGGTTTTGCCCTGGCCTTCTCAATAGGACAAAATATGTAGAAGTGTATTGTGCCCAAATCTAAAACAATTTAAGTACTTGGAGTTTTAACAACACTTAGGCCCGTATTATAGAAAGATACTCAGTGATTGATCTAGTCTTGAGCATAGTTAGAAAGGGATGCCGCTATATATAGCACATAGCGACATCCCATTCTAATTGTGTACTGTCAAGTAAAGATCAACACTTGGTTGTTATTTTGTAATACGGGTCTTAGATTTTTACCTATATTTTTTATGTTAGTCTTAAAATTTTCTTTGAAGCGACTAAGCAGCGCTTACCCCTACTGGATTTGACGATACGATTAAGGATCTGTCAAATTTCGTGTTTGGCCTTTGCATTTGCTACCTACCAACTATAAAAGCAACCTTATATAAAATTCTCGTGTCACAATGTTACTTAACATACGCCTCCGAAACGGCTTAACCGATTGGTCTGAGAATCGGCTACTATCTATTTTTCATGATAAGGGCTATCGACCGCCAACATATTTTTTTTTGTTTTATGATTTGGCTTTTAAAAGTACTTTTAAAATTTTCACCTTTCTATCATCCACCCCTATTTTTATGGCATTACGAAGTTCGCTGGGTCAACTAGTAAATATATAGTTTTCCATTTAGAGAAGCCTAACCATGGAATAATAATTCCAAGATAGCAGTATCAAGGACATAATGTGATTGTAGTTAATGTTTGTGAAGCTTACATTGATAGAAATTTACTGAATAAACGAAAGTAATAATAATAAAAGTATTACGAAATTCAGGTCTTACGATCTCTCGCAGCTGATACAATAGCAGCTGGGCCCATTTTGTAGCCTTTCGAATTGTTTCTATCAACTACCATTTCTTGTTTCAGATGTAAATGAAGATGTGGCTCGTATGAGTGATCTGACAGGAGCAGCAGAAAAATATCCCCATGTTCCAAAACTATGTGAGAAGGTAAGTTCTTTCGAAATAGCTAATACTCTTTGTGGTAATTAATTAGACCTGTTTGTTAACACAGGCTGTGTTAATAAATATGTTCCATTATAAGTACTAAATATGTAAATTATTGATAGGATATGAAAGTGAGCTTCGCTATTTTAATGTCGTAATCGAAAACATTCTTAGTACTTACTACCATAAAAGCATTAATATTGCTAATCAAAAATGAGATGGAATTTAATATTAAAGAGGTTGAATAATCTGAATTGTTTTTAAGTAAGGAATAAAAAGATTTTGAAAATATATATGAAACATTAAGGAGAACAAATGTTTCCAGATAAAATTACCGATGAAACCAAAACGAAAACTATCACCGAGCTAATAGTAATAAATTTTATGTGGGGTACCATAGACCCGGTACCTCGCCCACATTGTCCAATGACCGATGAAACTGGTATCAAACCAGACAATGAGGATGGCGATAAGGTAGCCCAAGACGAAAGAGCCGATACCAAAACCGATACCGAACCGAAGGAACCGAAAGAGACGAAATCGGTGTCTTTCAATAGAGACGTACACGTCAAAAGATTCGGTGAGTCGGTTTTTGTGACATTGACTCATCTAATGTTTATCAGTTTAAATTGCCTTTCTCTCTTACTGCAAGTAGAAAGATGAAAAGCAATATTGATATTAGACGAATTTGCTTTCTTTATATTTTTGATTTATCAAGTGCACATCTACACTTCCCCTGTTTTATAATTTATGTTATTTCAATCGTTTCAAAGGAAGTGAATTCTGATAATATCATAAAGTTGATAAACTTAACCTACACTAATTTTCACATAACCGATTCCATCGTTGGTTTTTAATGTAAGGCATTGTTCATATTTGTCTGTGATCTCATTCAATGAATTGTGATCATTAACTAAATGTTTACTATCAATACAATTTGATTATAATGATTCTTTTTTTTTAATGTTTTTGAATGCTGTTTGTCGGATTTCCCAAAATGATATTAAGATTTATAAATTAGGGTGCACCTTTACTATTATTTCGTTAACGTTTTCCTTAACATGGGGCATCGACATATGATAATGCCGGACATTGCCAAAATTGATTTTATTAAAACCTCTCTAAATAGAATCTAAGTAATTTAAAGTAAAACTTTGTAGTCGCCGATTAATTTGTAGATATTGTTGACTCTATTAATATTAATTTCCATGGATATTTCCATGCAAATCTTAAATTGCTTAATAAAAGTTATTTTAAAATGATTAACAATTTAATGTCTCTAGAGCATGATTAACATTTTTATGTATGCAACTCTTCAGTGTGAAATCTATTTTCAAATTAACAATTCTTACGTTGCGAATAAAATGTGCTTTGAATCGCAATAATTATTAAGATATAGCTTTATGAAAGAGACCAGTAGATTAACATTTAGCATTTAAAAACCCGAATTGAATGTTACAAATGTTAAATATCCATAAAACCAATGTCGGTCCATTAGAAAAAACTGTGTACCTATTTTTACACTTTCAATAACCCGAGGAGATTGTGAACTTATCACTTCGTCGTACATATTAAATTAAAATGTTTGAAATTAGTCCACATTCACGTAAGTTACAAAGTTAGAAGTTTCAGTAACAGTGGAATAGCTATGCTATGATGAATGAACCTCACACTGATTTAATTTTCGACAAATGCATATTAAAGAGAAGCTTTAGCTTAGAATTAGTTCTCTAAGCATTAGTATAAATTAATAATATTGTAAACAAACATCAGTTTAGTTTAAACAAACTATCCCACGGTCCATCAACAAATTTCTGATGTTCCGTCCGATTGAGATATAATTCAATACATCGTGATTGCCCTGACCTTCAATGGAATTCGGACAATTAACGTTTTTAGCTCTATTAGAACCATTCATGATGCAACGGAGGTTATCGTAAATCTTTATTGAAGTCTATTCGACAGCAATAAAAACAATGTAAGTTCGTTCCGGAAGATAAAGGTGATAGTAATACACAGGTGTGTTATTTAAGAATGTATTAGAGGAATTTACCATAGGATTCAAATCATTAGAAATCAAAATCATTGTATGCTCTTAAATCTTAATAAAGTAAATGTAAAAGCAACAGCAAATTAGGTTTAACTACTTCATTGATTAAAAAAAAATAGGTTTTTCTTTTTTACTCTATTTTATATTTATTAACGTTTCAAACTCATTAATATTGCATACAAAGCAAAAAAGATATCTGTTTATAGCTATGGTTATGTTATTTTTTCAATATTTCTATTGACTACTGAAATAGTTTTATTTTTATATAAAAACACTGTACAGAATTATTTTACAAAAGAATCAATTTATATTTTTCGAATCGTTGATTGCTATAAATTCCAAAGGCACGTGAAATTATAGTGACACATAACACCAACCAAAAAAATAATGAATGTAATTACATACATATAATACAAGTCAATACAAAACGACACACCTTATTACATCGCAAAAAGTATAACAACAAATCATTTAAGCCAAATAAAAAATATGTAGTGAGCAACTTATGAATACGTCGATAGCATCTTGGTTTCATCGTAATACAAAAAAAAACAATTAAAGTGTGACCGCCCAAAGCATTACAGATAATGTATTCGGTTTTATAAAATACTACATCTTTAAAAAAACCTAAAAAATAGTAAAGACTTCTAATATCTTTGAAGGTTAATTACTACAATGCACGTCAATTTAAAAGTCTCTTTTTAAATATGCTATCAAAATATAAAGATTACGTTAGGCTTGATAAATATCGACATTATCAAGGAAAAATCTCTGTATCTAGACAAAAAATACTCGGTAAAAAACGTATCTAATTCAACACCATAATATTATATATTATAATATTATAACTAAGGCGTGACCAAACCGTAATTAATGATTCACTCGTTATGATTATTATGAAACTTCACTCAGTTGGAAATAACGAACGATTTCGACAAAGATGAAAAAAGCACTAAATTTAAAATGTTTAATTACACTATCGTAATAAATTGAAATCTGAATCGAGCATTATAGTGCAATATCAATAAATGCGGACTCAGTGTGTCACCCTGAGGGATCCATTAAGAAGAACGCGGGGGCGAGCCGATACGAATCAGGAGTTGTACAGCAAACCTTTAAAGGCATCCAATGACGTTGTCCAGGTGTTTTTTTTTTTGTATCGGCATTGACCTGAACTGGAGTTCCTTTTCTGGACAATGATTGCGAAAGCCTCTGACTAAACTTAAACAGCATTCACATCTTTCTTTATATTTGCGACAAGATTGCGATACGTTGATATTAAATTGCTGGTTTAAGCTCCATTATGCTTAATTTAGAATGTTGTGATTTTTATTACAGATTAGAATTAATCTCGATAGACTTTGCTAAATTAGACAACGTTAATCAATTTATTATTCTGCTTGAAAATTGCCGTGGGTGTTATTTGATTTTTAAGGCTTACTTAAGATTAAAAACTTGCCAAAAGCTACATCATCGGCTATAATGAAATAACAATTGGGGATTAGCAACAATGTGACTTGTCTACTCAAAAGAAAGACTATTTATGAGGGTATTTTTTAACTTCTTGGCGAGATTTAAAGGTACTGGAACTATTTTATCTACAATACAATGACAAATCAAACTTCATTATGAATGTCATGTATTTGAAAGCATTTAAAATAATTTCTGATTTGGATAGTGTTTGCTTTCAAATTAGGTCTCTATTATATTATGATTAAGAAACTTGACCTAATGAAATACTATATCATTCGTTATTTAATATATTTAGCGATGCTAATTCCTCGAAAACAATTACTACTCTTAATGGGTACACACACTTCCATGAATAGAAGAATGCTGGAATGATTCGGAGTCAAAAGCCTTGCTTACAAAACGCGAATCCCACACTATACTTTGATTACATGTTAAAATTGGGGCATAATTACATTGCGAGTCAAATATTTCAATAACACGATGACATTCGTCCCACAGAACAAATTCTTCACATTGACCTTCCTTGACTGGTTTGCGTTCGGCAGTTGATAATGTTCATGAACAATACGTATTGTTGTTTCGGTTTGTGCGTGATTCAATATCAATTTCTTTTTACACAACTAGTGACGTGTGTCGTATTGAACTGCAGTTAATATTTTTCTTATTTTTGTCTATTTTGTTAGATATTAGTTTTGCTTTATAGCTCACAAATAACAAAAGTTTATCACTGACAAAATTTCAAGTATTGAATCGAAAACAAAGTACGGTTGGCAAAATTATTTAGAACGAAGATTTACAATTTCATAAAAAAACTTGATTTATCTATAACTCATTGGGTAAATTGAAATAAAAATGATAAGAGGATCAAATATTAAAAATAAATCAGTTACTTTATGAAAAAACATTATTAAGTACTAGTTAGCTGCGAGAATGACTCCCTAATTCGAAAAATATTGGTTTCCTATATCAACTATCAGCCCCTTCTGCGTGCCATTAAAATTTTCTTTTCACTACAAAATGTGGCCAAGTCCTTCTTGAATTTCCCCTTTACCTCCACACCAACATATATATCATAATTGTTTCAGTTCAGTTCAGAAACCAGGTTTCTTCAGATACATTTGACACGGCATTTGATACTGTTTCAGCGCCTAAAAAATACATGTCTTGTAAAACTATATGCATTATGTTATTTTATATTCCAATTTAGTCTTTTTGTAATTTTAATAATCTAGCCATTAAATAATGTGAAACAGATACAGCACTTACGTTTATTTCCAAATACTTATTTGCACTGGACTCAAATTTTAACGATCTTCAGTCATCGGAAAATACATAATGGCGACACTGGTTGGTCCGCCTTATCCAAAAGAACGAGTACACAATGAAATCAGAATAAATCATCTATGCAAATAAAACTAGCAAAAACATGATATGTAATAAATGGACAAAAAGTATGATCAAACCAGCGTTACTTGAAGTGCACGGTCGAGAAACGGAAGTGACCAAGGTCCAACCTATAGACACCGTCTTTGTAAATCGATCGTATAAACACAAAGCTAAGTCCAATTAGCGCCTTACAATTGAGGAAATACCGGGTTTTTATAAAATCTTCAACAGTCAAACGATCGGTTTAGATGTAACTGTTTTGTCAGCACTTGAATTTACATTTTTAAATATTGTGCATTATGGTACAGCAGTTCTTCTAATAATTAAGAAAGTACATACTATGATTTATTGGCGTACATTAAATCAAAAAGGAAAATAGGGGGAACAATATAATTTATATTTTAATATTTAGAAAATATTAAAACATAAATTATATAATTTATTAAGGGGTGGTTAAATCAAAATCTATTTTTGATTTAATCTAGGTTTATTTGGGCTGCTAACAAGTCCTAGGCTCAGCTTCACGAAAGTTTTGATATTTATAAACAAGTTTATTTTTTACAAACAGTTAATTTGTTAACCAAGCAAGACCCAGATAAATACACAAGGTTAAGGATATTTGTGTAGCACCAAAACCTGACTATATGTACATTTAAGAAATATGTAGAGTA